CATCGTACATCACTGCCAGCTGCTGCGCTTCGGGCTCTCGGCGCTCGACAAGGTCTGGTCCTTCATGTCCGAGAGCGGCGGCAAGGAGGTTCGCCTGTGGGCGTCCGTCCGGTGGGAGCTGGAAGTGTCCTCCTGGCTCGTCTTCCTGGCCGAGGCCCGTCTCAGCGCAGAGCCTGCCAGCGTCGCCTTTTGCGGCGACTCCTCTGCCGTGGGCTACGCGCTGCACGTCACCTCCGTCTCGGGACCCGAGTTTCGGGCCGTGGCGCGCTACCGAGAGCGGTGGCGCTTCGACGCGGTCGAGCGGAGCGACGATGGCTGGGGGGCCGTGGGCGGCTGGTCGGCCGAGTGGCGAGCCTCGCCAGACCCGGCAGGGTCTCTCGGTGGCGGCCCTCGCGACCTCGGCGGCGGACCTGCGGTTCGCTGCCGGCCGTGGCGCGACATCGAGACCGCGGAGCGGCCGGCCGAGGAGGCGGGGATCCCGCCGCTGCCGGACGCGCTGCTCGCGAGCAAGCGCTGGGCGATGGTCATCAAGGGCGCGTGGCAGCACGACAGGGTCATCCATGAGAAGGAGGGCCGCGTGCTGCTCATGGGCCTGGTGCGGGCCTCGAGGTGCGTCGGCCTTCACGGGAGGAGAGTTCTCTCGATCGGGGACAACCTCTCGAGCCTCTGCAGCTTCGAGAAGGGGCGCTCGGGCAGCTTTGCCCTTCGGCGCCTGTGCCAGCGCGCCGGGGCCCTCTCCATCGGCTGCGAGCTCGACTGGTCCCTTCGCTACGTGGAGAGCAAGAGGAACCCGACCGACTTCGACTCGAGGGCGGCCGATCGAGGCGAGCTGGCTGCCGGGACCTCTGTCGCTGGCCGGCACGGCCGGGCGCTGCTTCAGCGATGCTCGCGGGTCCCCGACTCGCCCCCGGCCCGAGCCAGCGCTCGGATCCGCCGACCGCCGCCTTCGCGGTCGGGGCTGGGGCGAATGGGGCCTCGGCAGACGCCCGCAGCCCCCCCGACCCCTACGAGGGTTCGGACTCCGCCTGAACGGCGGTCACCTCTTGGGCGCATGGGGCCTCGCGCGCATTTTGCCGCTCCACGCAGCCCAGGCGCGGCGCGGCCCCGCCGACGCACCCGCCAGCGGGGCCCGCGAGCACGGACTGAGCAGCACAGAAAAAGCAACAGCCCTGTCGGCAAGACGTCAGCTCAGCATCAGTTCGTCCTGGAGATCTTCGCCGGCTGCGCCGCCTTCTCCGCCGCCTGTCAGGAGGCCGACCTCAACATCGGGTGCCCCATCGAGATCTCGAGGGGCCACCACATGGACGTCTCGAGGCAGAGGACCCAGAGGCACATCAAGGGCTTGGTCAAGCAGGGGCTCGTGCGGCACCTCCACCTGGGGACTCCGCGCACTACTTGGTCGAGGGCCCGCACGACGGGCTCGAGTTCAGCCGCTCTTGGGGGCCTCCAGTTGGCCAAGTTCTCGTTGGGGCTCATCAAACTCTGCAAGCAGTACGGCGTCCTCTACTCACTCGAGAACCCGCGTTCCTCGAGGCTCTTCTCCTGGAAGCCCCTTAGGAAGGAGCTGCAGAGCCAGAGCGCGATCTTTGTCCGATACGATAACTGCGCGTACGGTGCGGGATATCTCAAGCCGACCCTCCTGGCCACCAACATGCAGGCCCTTCAGGGGCTACATCGTCTATGCCCAGGAAACCATCATCATGAGATTCTTGAAGGGAAAGTCCTTCTGCCTCCAGGGCCCGGCGAGGCTCGGGGGCGGTGGGCCTGGAAGACGACTCTGGCAGGGCGCTATCCTCCTCGACTTTGCCGCTCCTGGGCAGCCATCTTGGCCCGGGCGGCTCCAGACGCGGCCCGCGGGGCCGATGCCACTTCGCTGGAGCGATGGGAAGCTGACTTGACGCGAGCCGGAGGCTGCCCGATCCCGTCCGACGTCTTCAGGCTCCACTGCCCCAGGTGCTACCAGAGCCCGTGGAAGGACGCCGTCAAGCACTGGGGCCAGCGCGTGGTCTGGGTCGGCCCTCGGCGCGGAGCTACCAGATCGAGATCGGCGACGCGCTGCTAAGGCGGCCTGCCGACGGGCCGCCGCGGGACACGACCCCGGCGACAGGTTTCTGGAGCGCAAGACCGTCGGGAAGGGGGCGCTCGTCAACTACGAGTCGTGCTCCTCAGACTTCGTCCACTGGGCCAGCCAGCAGGCCCCGCCCCGGGCGCTGGCTCCTCTCGAGCAGCTAGACGCCAGCCTCTCCGCGTACTTTGACTTTCTCTTTTTCGACGGCTGTGAGCCGTGGGCTGGTCGGCACACCCTGTTCGGCTACGCCCACTTGCACGGCATCGTTGCGCCCTCGCGCAACCTGCCACATGCCGTGGAAGCTCTGGCGGGCTGGGTGAAAGCCTGCCCAGAGCTCAGCCGCGACCCGTGCCCTTGGAAGGTGTTCGCCGCGATCGCCGACCACTGGCTCGAGCTGGGCACGACCGAGTCCATCCTCGCCGCTGCCTGCGGCGCCTTGCAGTTCGACACCTACCTCCGTCCAGCGGCTGCCGTCAACCTGTCCCTCGAGCACGTGGCGTTGCCCTCGGGCAGGGCTGGCGACCGCTATGACAAGGTGGCGCTGATCGTGGCCCCTTCGAGTGGCACAGCACCTCGGCCTAACAAGAATCAGCAGTTTGACGACACCGTGATGGTTGGGTCTATCGACCGATCTCGTGGTTGGCTTCGGCAGCTTGTTCGACAGCTAGTTGCCAGAGCCAGAGCGCGTCGGGTCCAGCGCCTGTTCAACGAGCTCCCGCTGTCCACCTACGAGCGCCTGTTCCGCGAGGCCAGCCACCGACTAGGGCTGGCAGCGCTGAAAGTGTCGCCGCACACGCTGCGGCACGGCGGCCCTTCCCTCGACTACCTGAACGGCCTCGCCACGCTTCCAGTGCTGAAGAAGCGCGGCGGCTGGCTCAGCGACCGCTCCGTGGCGAGGTGCGGCAAAGAGGGTCGACTCCTGAGGCAAATCAGCCGCCTCTCTCCTGAGCAGCAGCAGCAGTTCAAACGTGCCGCCAATCGCCTCGAACAGAAGCTGCTTCGAGCCACAGGAGTGCGCTTCCAGACTAGCGCTTGATCACAGCATTCGACGGCCAGACCTCCGACCGGAATGACATTCGAAGAGAGTTTTTACGATCTTTTTCTGTGAATTGTGCCCATCCCGCCCACCCGTGAATCATAATATGGGTTATGGGTGACGGCTTCTGAATCTTTCCAAATCGTCTGCTCGTCTACTCTTCGGATCTCCCGGGAGCCTCTGAATCGTCTAGCCTCTCTGAGGCTGCAGGCGTGTTTGTATTCAGCCAGCCCTTCTTCTAGCGAGATTGCCTCGTGGAGGCGACCAGTTGCCAGATCTGGAGTGATATGTAAAAGAGATCGGCGAGAGCTCCGGGGCTTCCCTCTTCTCTCGCCTCTCCCTCGCGCCTTCTGGTCAGGCCCTCGGGTGGAGCATCTATTCATCAGTTGCACGATTGTAGATTCGGAGTACAGTTTCTGACCCGTGGTGACGCCTCGTGTCTCCACCGCCTGTGGGAGGGTTGTGAATGTCTTGATGCGTTCCCTCTCCTCCCCTGGCCTCCTCCTTAATCGTATTGGCTCACAGTGACCCGTCCCGCCCTGCCCTGTGTAAAAAGGTCGGCTTTTTCCTTGGTGACGGCTGCTGAATCTTTCCAAATCGTCTGCTCGTCTACTCTTCGGAGCTCCCGGGAGCCTCTGAATCGTCTAGCCTCTCTGAGGCTGCAGGCGTGTTTGTATTCAGCCAGCCCTTCTTCTAGCGAGATTGCCTCGTGGAGGCGACCAGTTGCCAGATCTGGAGTGATATGTAAAAGAGATCGGCGAGAGCTCCGGGGCTTCCCTCCTCTCTCGCCTCTCCCTCGCGCCTTCTGGTCAGGCCCTCGGGTGGAGCATCTATATATATATATATATATATATATATGTATGTATGTATGTATGTATGTATGTACGTGTGTGTGCCAGTCCGCGTAGACCCCAAACAGTGTGTGTCTAGCAATATATGTTGTGGAATATCTGTGGACGAATCAGTATGGTGCAGTCTGTGCGTGCAGTATATGTGCAAACGATGATGTGCCGTATGAATGCAGTATATATGTTGTGCAGTACGTGCGTGTCTATATATAGACGTTGTGCAAGCGATGATGTGCAATATATGTGGTGCAATACATGTGGTGCAATCTATGTCGTGCGCAAGTTATGGAATGCAATCGTCGTGGTGCAACCTTTGTGGTGCTAGCTACGTTGTGCAATAGATGTGTGCAATCTGTGTGGTGCCATCTATGTGGTGCGATCTACGCGGTGAAACCCCTGTGGTGCAATCTACGTTGGGCAATCTAAGCGGCGCTGGGGCGGCGACGGCGAGCACGGAGCCGCCAGACCGACACCTAGGTCCAGACGAGCAGCGGCGACGAGGCGGCGACGGGGCGGCGATGGCGAGCACGGAGCCGCCAGACCCACCACCCTACCACAGACGACGGGCGGCGACGAGGCGGCGACGAAGCGGCGACAGCGAGCACAGAGCCGCCAGACCGACAAGACCCCCCCGCGGTTTCGTAGAACACAAGTAAGAACCCCTAAGAGCAAGCATCGTTTTGTGCATGTATGTATGTATGTAAGCATGTATGCATGTATGTATGTATGTAAGTATGAATGTCTTCATATATACATGTATAATATACAGATATCGGTTATCATGTGTTGTCCCTCGTAACCCCTCCTTCCCCTCCCAAACCCTACCCGTTCCCTCTTCTTCTCTTCATCATGTAATTCTTCCTCTTCCACCTCATCCCTTCTTCCCTCCTCCTCTTCCCCCGACCCTCCAACCCCCGTCTATCACCCTCCCACCCTCCCTCCTCCTTCCTCGACGTCTCCTTGGGGACCGAGGAGGATGAGTGGGCGAGGGTGGGGGGTGCGCAAGGCCACGTTCGCCGCAGCGCTACCTAGCGCTGGTGGCCTCCACATGACGAGGTCGTGGGGGGCGAGCCCGCCACTCCGCAGAGAGAGGGGAGGAAGGCGAGGAAGAGGACCAGGAAGACGAGCACGTTGCTCGGTTCCTGGAGGTTGTTCCTGCCTCGGGGTGCGTTCCAGCAGTTGCGCCTCGCCTGAGACGTCCTTGGGGTACCCGGATCTTCTTGAACGGCCCCTGGAGGCCCGAGATGTCGACTGAAATCCAGACCACCTCGCGTCGTGAAGCTGTAATTCTCTGCTGCCGGGGACCCACGCAGGGCCCAGTTGGTTTGGGGGAAGTGGTCCAGACTTCAAGGGGTCCACGCTGTGAACAACACACACAGACACATGTTTGGCGTCGCGGGTACACACACACACACACACACACACTTTTTGGGCGGTGGCGGCCTCGCGCGCAGCGACGAGGCGGAGCAAGGCGAGGCACAGTGCGCGAGGCGACCGGGCCCTTTGGCATCGCTTAGGGTGCAGAACCTACCGACATTAACCATCCGGGCGTGGGTGGCAGGGAGGTGACACGCCACACCGTGGGCAGTGCTCGATCGGCGGCATGAGAGGTGGAGGATCGCATCAGCGCATCCTGGCGTGGATGACATGGAGGGTGGACGCAGACCGAGGGACTTGCGCAGTCGACAGCGTGTGGTGCAAAAGACGCAGAGACGCGGCTGAGCAAAAGCTGAGCAAAGAACAGTGCCGAGCCAAAGGGCGCACGCAAGGAGCAGTGCAAAGCACGAGAATGAATTTGTTGGTCGAGAATCATGGGAGCCTTGTGTACCCTCGCAATCCTGTCCTCAGGGCGCACTAGCGTCGATTAGCGTCTGGTAATCAATGAGATAATGCCGACTCAGCGTCGCTTAGCGTCGACGAGCATCGATTAGCGTCGATTTAGAGTCGATTAGCGTCGATTGAGCGTCGATTAATGTCGACGGGCGTCGATTCGCAAGAGCCAACAAGACGGTATGGGAGAGGCTCCCATGAGTTGCCGCAGAAAAATTCCAGGGCAGAAGCCCGTGAGAGAGGGAGGGCTGCGAAGCGCAAGGCCCATCGCCGTGGGCGCCGCCCCCGGCTCCCAGCCTCCGGCGAGAGGCGGGCCGCTTTGCCGGGAGAAGCGGTTCCATTCGGCCGGGCCAGGGGAGCTCGCCCGGGCTGGGGCAGGAGAGGGTGCTTCACTAAGAGCTAGGCCTCCTGGAGGGGGTCCGAGCAGATGGGGTCGCAGGATCGCGCCGCATCGCCGATGCATCGCCGATGCGGCGCGATGCGAAGCCCGATGTTCTTCACGCGGACGTGGCCGACGCATCGCCGACGTCGCCAGTGCACGTCGCCGATGCATCGCCGATGCATTGGCGATGCAGCGAGATCCTCTGACCCCGTCTACTCGGACCCTATCTATGAGGCCTTGAGGCTTCTATGAAAGCGTCAAAGGGAACGATATCGACAAACCAACCGAGGATCTCGGGCAGAGAAGTCGGCAGGGACGGGCGTGGCACCGCGGACGGGTCGCTTGCACTTCTTGCTCATCCATGACTCCCACTTCCCGTGTGATCCGACGTTGCAACAAAAATGCAACATCGCAGAAAATCACGACCAGAGCCCTGGACCTCATCTTTCTTCTGCGTTTTTCGAAACAGATCGATATGTGAAGGTCCTGGGGCCCGAAACTGGGCGAAAACGCCCGTCGTGAAAAAATGCAACGCAAGGATCTCAGGGTCATGCGCATCAGAGAAGCACCTAGCCACTTCCTCGTCGAGCCCCGCCGAGATCTGAGCTGCCAGGGCGCGCTGTACTGCGCTGGGCCCTCGGGAGGGCCCGTGGGGGCTCGTGGGGGGGGGGGCGGGCGCGGGGGGCCTCTTGGGGGGCGGCGGCGGCGGCATGGCGCCGAGGCCTGCCCTGGTGGCCTTGCTGGCGGTGGCAGGGTGCCGGAGCCGGCAGCGGCCGCGCGGGACAGGAGGCGGGCGAGGCGAACTTCCCAGACATGGTCGCGCTGTGAAAAAATCACGACGGGAGGTTTTTCACTATTGCGAAGGCCTTACGGCCCGTGCCGCCGACCCTGAATGGCGACGACGACGACGACGACGACGACGACGACGACGACGACGACGACGACGACGACGACGACGACGACGACGACGAGCGCTCTCGGGGGCCTCTTCGGGGTAGCTTGGGGGCCTCCTGGGAGGCTCTTGGGGGTCGCTTGGGAGCCTCAAGGGGGCCTCTTGGGGCTTCCCGGGGGTCTCTTGGGGGCCTCTTGGGGCCTCTGGGGGGGGCTTCTTCGGCATCTGAGGGCCTCCTGGAAGCTTCTCAGGCTGAGGACTCGAAATGACCGTTTGGGTCCCCCGTCTGGGATCCCTCTTGGAGCCGTCTTGAGGGCCTCTTCGGCTGTCTTGGAGGTCTCTTGGGCGGTCTTGGTCCCCTCTTGGGTCGTTTCGGGGCCATCTTGGAGGCCTCTTGGACCATCCTGGGGCGGTCTTCGGGGCCTCTTGGCATGTCTTGGAGCGTCGGGAAGCTGACAAGGCGAGAATGCCGACATCTTCCAAAAACCTCCAGGAAATCCATGATGTTTGCCCCTTGGGGCCCTCTTGGAAGTCCTCTTGGAAGCCTCTTGGGGCGTTTTGGGACCTTTTGAGCCGTCTGGAGGCTACTTTGGCGACTTGGACCGGTATTTCGGCGATTCGGGGCCCTCGAGGATCGTCTGGGGGCATCGTGGGGCACTTTTGCCGCGTCTTGGGACTTTGGGCCCCCGAACCGCCCGGGGGGGAGTCGCATCTGGGTGGCGACCCCCCCCGGGGGGAGTCGTACCTGGGTGGCGGGCCCCCCCAGGGCCTCCTTTGGACCACCCGGGACCCCCCCCCCCGGGACCCCCCCCCCTACCGGCGGGGAAGGGATAAGGGACTTCCCTTCGATTCATCTACAACTTTGCTCAAGTTCGCCGTGGCTGGCGCGCTCGAGGAGGAGGGCCCGGAAAAAGTGCGGGGAGCGGCGACGGGCCTAGGGAAAGGGAAAGGGGAGGGGAGCGGCGACGAGGACGACAACGACGACAACGACAACGCCAATCGGGGGGGTGGGGGAAGGGGGAGCACCCCTCCTCGGAACCAGGGGGGCGACGACGACAACGACGACGACGACGACGACGACGACGACGACGACGACGACGAGTCAAACAGAACAGCCTCTTCGACACGCCGACAGGGTCGGTGGATCTTCGGCCTCCAGGGGCCCTCACCGGGCCTCGGGGCCGTCAAGAAACGACTCAGTAGAAAAACTGGTCTCCGAGGAAGGGGTCCAGACTTTTGAGGGTCACGTCATGAGAATGTCATGACGTCGGGTGTCTGAGTCCGGAGCCGCACCGCTGCCCGCCACTGGCCAGGCGCCGATGGCCGCGGGGCCGCGGGCACAGGAAGCCATGCCACCACAAGGAAAGAGTAACATTGCCAGCGTCGCACCCCAGCATGGGGTGAAGGTTCTGCGCAAGCTTGGAGAGCATCTCGCGGTCAACGTCGAAGGCGTCGCGCGGTTGAGTGGCAGAGTTGAAACGGTGGGGACTCGCGCGAAGGGTAAAGGCCAGGATGGGCAGGAAAGCCAGACCTGCCACGAGCTTCCCAAACCATTGGCTCAGCTCCTCGCAAGCGCGGCAAGGCAGAAGCCAGGAGAAGGGGGAACTCGCGGGGAGACCAGGAAGGTCTGCTCTTGCTTTTGCTGCGCGTGTCGTCGCGCTGTACCAACAGCCTGGCCTCGGAGGCGAACTTCAGCAGGTCGTGGAGCTTGGCGTCCTGGCTAGCCTGGGCCATGCGGGCGTTCATGGCGGGGACGCAGGCGTTCTTGCCGCGCGTCAGGGCGACGGTGATACGGCGGGCGCGGTCGGCGCGCCCGGGACGCACCCGCCGTTGGAGCGCACGCACATCACAATGACGAGGTCGGCCTCGTCGCCCTGCATCTGATCGACGGCGTAGACCGTGACAGCGCCCCATTGGTTGAGTAGTTAGGCCTTGGACGGCAGCAGGCTGCTCAGGGGCACCGCGGGGGCGCCCGCAGGCCCGACGCTGCCCGCTCCCGCTCAAGGCCGCGGTGGCCCCGCTGATGGGCCAACCCGCGTTGAGCACGGTGCCTTGAAGGCGGCAGGGTGGGATGATCGCAACGGAGGCGTGGCGGCCAACGATCGTCGAACTGCATCATGCGCGCGAACTTCTCCAGGAGGGATATCTCGACCCCGAGGGCGACGGCTGCCTCCCAGCGTGACGTCGGCGGGGAAGCTGAGAGCGTTCGCCGATGAGAGCGATGGGGGCGCCGTCGGAAGCGGCCACGGAGATCGGAATCATGGCGAGCGCTTCCGAAGCCTGTCTGGCATCCTCGACACCGAGGGCGTGGCAGCCGATGCGCCGATGCCGGAGGACTGGGTGGGGCCTCCCCACAAGGTGGCTGCCGACTCCGGCGTGAGCCCGACGAGCTTGTAGCTTGTGAGCGCGCGGCGGTAGGCGTGGGACGCGACCTTCTGCTTCTGCAGGGTCTTTCGTGGCCGGCGGCCTCTCATGTGTGGTCCATGGTGAGATGACGCACCGCCGGAAGTGGCGACCTTGGCCAGGAGGCTGTAGCAGATCTGGTTGCCTTGGGCTGCGAGGAGGACCGTCGCGTCCTCGGGGAATGAACTGGCGCGGAGGGCGACCGGAGCGCGGGCGGTGTGGGTGTGTGTGTGTGTGTGTGTGCGTGTGTGTGCGTGTGTGTGTGTGTGTGCGTGTGTGTGTGTGTGCGTGTGTGTGCGTGTGTGTGCGTGTGTGTGTGTGTGCGTGTGTGTGTGTGTGTGACGTGCCAGTGCCCGGCGGCCCTTGCACGCAGATGAGGCGGTATTCGCAGCTGGCGTGGACTGCGCGCGCCTGGTGGTCGCCGAACTCCCAGACCCAGTAGACGTAAGCGGCCGTGGCTGGGGAACACACACACACATACACACTGCACACACACATTGTTTTGTGTCTTTTGGCGTGGCAGCCTTGCGCGCAGCGTCAGGGCGTAGAAGGTCGGAGAACAGCACGCCCACACACACACAGCGTCGAAGGTCTGGGGAGGAGGAGGAGGAGGAGGAGGAGGAGGAGGAGGAGGAGGAGGAGGAGGAAGAGAAGAAGGAATGAGGAAGGAGGAAGAGGAGGAGGAGGAGGAGGAGAGGAATGGAGAAGGAAGGGGAGGAGGAGGAGGAGGAGGAGGAGGAGGAGGAGGAGGAGGAAGAAGAAGAAGAGGGAGGGAGGGAGGGAGGGAGGAAGAGTGAGGGAGGTGCACGGAGGAAGGAAGAGACGGGTGAGGGTCAAGCTGGGTGAGCTCGCGCCATATCTGACATCCTACCCCTCCCACCCAGCCCTTTTCATTGCGTTGCATGTGTTATCTATCCGCCGACGCATGTCATAGCGGACCTGGAATTTCAAAAAGGACACCATCGTGTTACGCGCAATCGGAAACGGGGAGCTGCGCACATCAAAGGAGCAGGTGGCGTAGGATGATGGAGGAGGAGGACGAGGACGAACAGCAGCAGCAGCAGCAGCAACAGGAGCTGGAGAAGAAGGAGAGGGAGGAGCAGGAGCAGGAGGACCAGGGGAAGGCGGATGAGGGGAACTGAGTTCCACGGCACATGATCCTCCAGGTAACACCAGGGGCAGCTGACAGAAAATCGCTTCCATGCAGCGTCTTACAATCGAAAGTTCTTGCCAGGGTATGCGTCTAAACTGGAATGAGACATGCTCGATGGACAGAGCCTGACGGCGGGCATGGTCAACCAATCTCGATATCATGCATGAGTAGTTACGAGTTGCGGAGGAGGGGTGGCAACGACGAGAAACGATTCGGAAGCAGAAGAGTTGCCCGCGCTTGGGCGAAAGTGTGATTCTGAACGACGGGAGCATGGCGCCGATCTTAAAATTGAGGCACCCAGAATGAGGACCGAAAGCGAGCGGAATGTAAAAGCACCTAGGGAAAATTACGGTTTGACATCCTGTGCGTAACAGCAATACGCGGATAGGGCCGAACATCTTCCAGGCAGAGTCTGGGGAGAGAGGAGAGTAGTTGAGAGCATGCTAGGTGCTCTCGCGCCAGATCTGACATCCCAGTCCCCCATCACATCCCTGCACTTTGCGCTGATGGTTTCTCTACCCGCGGACGAGAGTGGTTGCTGACCTGGAATTCTAAAAGAGAACCCATCGTGGCATGCGTAATCGGAAATAGGGGAGCTGCGTTCGTACAGAGGAAGAGGAGGAGGAGGTGGTGACAGGTGAGCAGGAGGATGAGAGGGAGGAGAAGGAGGCGAAGGAGGAGAATGAGGAAGGCGGAGACGATGACGAACAGCAGCAGCAATAATTGTAGGAATTTGTAGCGGATGGCGCAGGAGGACCAGGGGAAGGCGGAGGAGGAAAAAGGAGGGGGGGCCACAACGATGAGCAAGGACTCGGTTCCAAAAAAGAGTGGCCCGCGCTGAGGCGACAAGGATGAAAAAGGACTCGGATCATCAGATTCGGAAGAGTTGCCCGCGCGGTGGCGAGAGCGCCATTGGGGCACGGCGCCGATCCGAACATGAGGCCTACGTTGCAGCTTGAGCACCGTTTTGAAACACCGAGGACAATATGAATCTGAAACATTAGTAAAATCAGTTATTGAATCGCTTCGCTCATTCCGCCGGCCCATATCGCGCACCGCCGTTGACTGGCCGAGTGGCCGTCGGCAGTGCGGAACTGCAGGGGGCGGGGGACTCAGGTTGTGCCGCTTTTGTCGTGTCGGACGGTGGCAGGCGTTGAATGGGAACGTTGATTCTCGTGTAGTGCTGATGTCCTCTGTCGTTGCGGACGCGGGCGGCAAGGAAAAGTTTTCTGTTTCTCCTCTTCGTCCTGTTTTCTCGTTCCTTCTGCATTGTTCCCGGATGTGTGTGTGGGGGGGTGTGGGGGTGGGTCAGGGGAGGGGGGGGATGCGTGTGTCGGATTGCTAGCGCTTGCTTGCGTGCTGGAGGGGGGGGGTCTCCTGAGGGCTTCTGGGGGGTCTCTTGGGACCTCTTAGGGGCCTCATGGCTCCTCTTGGGGGCTTCTTGGGGCCGACGGCTGGACATGTTGTTTTGCTTGCTTGCGTACTGGGGGGTGGCATTTGGGGGCTCTCGTGAAGGCTTCTGGGGTGCCTCCTGGGACCTCTCAGGGGCCTCTGGGGTTCTCCTGGGGGCTTCGTAGGGGCGAAGGCTGGACATGTTGTTTCGCTTGCTTGCGTGCTGGGGGGTGGCATTTGGGGGGTCTCCTGAGGGCTTCTGGGGGGCCTCTTGGGACCTCTCAGGGGCCTCTGGGGTCCTCCTGGGGGCTTCTTAGGGCCGAGGGCTGGACATGTTGTGTCGTGTTCCCCCCCTGGGGCCGCTCTTGGGGCGTTCTTGGGGCCCTCTTGGGCCGTCTTGGGGCCCTCTGGGGCCGTTTTGGGGCCATCTTGGCTCGTCGTAAGGCCCTTGTGGGGGGCTCTTGGGCACTCTTGAAGCGGTCTTGGGGGCCTCTTGGGCCGTCGTCGGGCGTTGGAAAGCGGAAAGGGTGGGAATACCAAAATCTCACCAAAACCTAAGGAAAAGCAATGAATTTTGCCTATTGGGGCCCTCTTGGGAGTGCTCTTGGAGGCCTCCTGGGGCGTTTGGGGGCCATATGGAGCGTCTTGGAGCGATCTTGTGGCATCTCGGAGCCCTCTTGTAGCATCTTGGGGGCGTTTTGGGGCGTCTGGAGGCTCTCTGGAGGACCTCGAGGGCGGCACCCAGGAGGGAGAACATCTCTGACGGGAACCTCCCGGGACCCTCCCGGGAGTGGGAGTCTCCCGGGACCCTGCCGGGGTACTTTTCGTGGGGAGACCCCCAGGGGCCGCCCCGCGCGCGCGAAGAAGAATATTGTAAAGCAGTCACCGGAGATCTTAGCACGCCTCTGGCCCGTTGGGCCGGCGAATTGAAATCCGTTCTGTAGCACCACAAAAGAAACATAAGAGAGAAATAACACAAGGTACGCAGAGAGGACCGGACGTCTTCCGCACATAGTCGGGGGAGAAAACAGAGTAGCACCCAGCATGTGCAAGTGCGAAAAGAACGGAGAGGAAAATGAGGAGGAGGAGGAGGCAGGAGGAGGAGAAGGACGAGGACGAGGGAGGAAGACGGGGAGGAGGAGGATAGGGGAGGAGGAGGGAAGAAAAAAGGAGGAGGAGGAGGACGAGGGAGGAAGACGGGGAGGAGGAGGGGGGAGGAGGAGGGAAGAGGAAAGAGGAGGAGGAGGAGGAGGAGGAAGAGGAGGAGGAGGAGGAGGAGGAGGAAAGGAGGAGAAGGAGGGCGGAGAGGGGAAGGGGGACGAGGAACAAAAGGAAAAGGCCCCCCTCCCCTGCCCGGAGGCGCACCTCTCTTGAGCGGGCTTGCTCCGAGGCCGCCGCCGCCCCCCACCCTCCTCCTCCTCCTCCTCCTCCTCCTCCTCTCCTCCTCCTCCTCCTCCTCCTCCTCCTCCTCCTCCTCCTCCTCCTCCTCCTCCTCCTCCTCCTCCTCTCCGTTTCTGCCCGAGGGCATGGGGGCGGACAGGCCGCCGCGGGCTCCCCTCGGGCGGGGACCATCGCGCTGCCCTCCGAGGCGGCGTGGCATCGGCGCCTCCGTCGCGAGCGCGCCGCGGCCAGGGCGCTGCTGCGCGCGTGGCGGGGCTCGCCATCCCCCCGCCAGCGCGGCCGCCTGGCGGCCGCCGCGGCGCTCCTGGACGGCCACCACGGCTCGGCGGCGCCGGCCCCCGCGCGCCAGGCGGGCGACGGCGGGGGCGGCATGGCGGCCGCGGGCGGCGCCGCCAGCGGCCGCGGCGGCCACGCGTGCGCGCGCTGCGGGTGCAGAAAAAACGAGGCATGGTGGACGTGGTGCAGCCACTGCAGGCACCCACTGCAGCTGGTGCCTACGGGGGTTGCTGCTGCTCGCGGCGCTGCTGGCCGCCGCCAGCAGGGATCACAGCGGCGCCCGCGAGCCGCCTTGGCGCCAGGACGCCGCTGGCGGGCGCGGCGGAGCGCCGCGCGGGCGGCCAGCCGCTCTGGTCGCAGAGGCGACAGGCCGCCAGCGCAGCGGCAGCCTGGGAGTCCGAATTGTGGATGTGGCCCAGCCCCTGGAACCCGACGCGGACCCTGAGGAGGCCAAGTTGGCCCAGCTGGTGGAGCTCCTCCGCTTGTCGGGAGACGAGCCAGTGGAGGCCAAGCACAGGCAGCAGCTGGACGCCTTCCGTGCCCAGCGCCTGGCCAGGCCCCTCTCCGTGGCCGAGGCGGGCGCCGCCAGGGACGCTGCCGCGGCGGCCCTGGACGTGGCCCTGGCGGAGGCGGAGGAGCTCCAGCTGCGCCTGGGCCAGGCCACGGAGCGCGTGCCCAAGTGCACCGCCGCCCTGGACAGCGCGCAGGCGGTGCACACGAGCGCGGTGCAGGCCCCGGCGGGCGCAGTTGCCCCAGCGGCGGCGCCTGCGCGCGAGGGTCGTTGGCAAGGAGGCGTGGGCGTTGGAAGACGAAGGGCTCTTCGGCCTGGAGTCCCTGGAGGACTACGAGGTCGAGGAGAGCGACCGCCAGGCGGCCCATCGGCGCCGCGAGGAGCTGCGGGCGCGGGTCGCGGCCATGGCGCAGGAGGCCTTCGGCCAGTTCAAAGCCGAAGCCGAGACGCTGGAGAACACTTTAAGCCGCGGGAGCGCTTCAAGTCCAAGAAGAGGCGCACCTCGGCCCCCCCGCGGCAGGAGGCGGCACATGCAGCGGGCGGGGCAGCCAGCGGCTGAGGGAGCTGCAGCGCCCGCGGCTGCAGCAGCAGCCCCCCCCGCGGCGCCCCCCGCCGCCGCCGCTGCCGCTGGCGGCCGGCAGGAGGCCCCCGCCCAGGCCTCGCAGGCGGCTCCACCCGCTGCTCCCGCCGCCGCTGCAGGGGCCTCAGGCGCGGGGGCCGTGGCGGCGGAGGCGCTGGAGGCGGGCCGCCAGCGCCCGGCTGCCGCCGCGGCCAGCAAGGCCGCGGCTGGCAAGGGGCGCGCGCCCAAGGGCGGCGGCGGCGGCGCGGCCAGCGCAGCGGCGGCGGCCCCCGCGGCGGCGATGGTGAGCGCCCAGCGGCGCGGGCGCACTCGGCGGGGACGTCTGCGCGGGCGGGGCGCCGTGCACAGTCGTGGTCACATCCTGCGGGCCCTGGACTACATGTACTCGACTAGGGAGTACAGGTCCATGAAGGATGACCTCCAGTGCGGTGCAGGCCCCGCCTGCGTGTCGGACATCATCGGCAGGTGGCAGGGGCCCACCTGCTGCTGCGATGACTGCGACTACGACTACGGCGACGTCTTCATCTACGAAGACACTTGCGGGCCTGCCCGCCTCCAGCTCGCGAGATGGGACGCCGTCGCTGGCTGGGCCCATCCCCTTCGCGGCTTGCCCCCCCGCGGCGCCGCCCCCAATCTCGTCGGCGGGGGTGGCCAACGACGCGGGCGCGGGCCATGCGCTTCAACTGCAGGGGCGACGCGTGGCACGACGGCCTGTTCAGCCGCGCGTCGGGCACCACCTGGACTGGCCCCTCTCGCCCGCGAGCTGCCTCGGCCAGAGGCGCGGGGAGCGCGCGGCGCTGGCGGCGGCCGAGCCGAGGGTCGACCCGCGAGGGGCGGGGGCCATAGCGGGCGCTCCGAAAGGAACTCGCGAAGCCCCCGCCCCGAAGTGGCTCTCGCCGAGGCGAGGTTGTCGGAGCCGCGCGACGAGCTTGCCCTCTCACCTCGCGACCGTCGTCGGCCAGAGGTTCGCGGTGCACGCGGCGCTGCATGCTGGGGCGGCGCTGGAGGTGCTGCTGGGAAGCGACCCCGCTGCGCGTGGGCCCCCAGCCACGACGTGCACGACGGCTACTACGGGCACGCATCAAGAGTCTTGCCTCCTGGCGCGGCGCGGTGCTCGTCGGCAAGGACCGCTCGTCGTCGGCCTCGCCGCGGATTGGTTCCTCCACCCCGCGCTGCTTCCCAACCAGAGGCACATGATGCCCCTAGCGCTGTCGGCGAGCGCGGCGCCGGCTCTGGCTGGCTGGCCGGGGCGCGGCCCCGCAGCACGCGGGCCCCCCGCCGCGGCGAGCGTGACGGCTACGACGGGTGCGTGCCAGATGGTCCCTCAGGTGCTACTCGGAGCCCCTTGGCGAGGACGGCTTGCTTTCGGCCCCGCCCTGGGCTGGATCCTCGACCAAAGGCTTGGGGCGCCCATGGCGCTGGCGGCGGCCGAGCCGAGGGTCGATTCACGATGGGGCGGGGGCCATAGCGGGCGCTCCGAAAAGGAACTCGCGAAGCCCCCGCCCCAAAGCGGCTCTCGCCGAGGCGAAGTCGCCGAAGCCGCGCGACGAGCTTTCCGCACCACCTCGAGAGCTCCGTCGGCCAGAGGCTCGCGCGGCACACGGCGCTGCATGCTGGGGCGGCGCGGGCGGCGCGGCAGAGGAGCGGCCCCGCGGCGCGCGGGCGCCCTACCTCGACGTGCGCGACGGGTTCGGCGGGCGCGGACCGAGTGGATCAACCTCGGGGGCGCCGAGGGGCCCTTCGGCGAGGTCTGCTCGACGTCGCCCCCCCCCCTGGACTGGTTCCTCCACCTCGAGATGCCCCTCAGCCAGAGGCGCCCGTTGCACCTGTCGCCGTTGGCGGGCGCTGCGCCGGCTGCGGCGGGGAGCTCGGGGAGCGGCCTCGCGGCGCGCGGGCCCCCCGCCAGGAGGCGCGCGGGCGAGGGCCCCACCCTCAGCGAGCTGGGCGGCGCCAGGGCGCCAGCATGGGGGTCGCGACCGCCAACGCGACGCGCCGGCCCTCCTGCCTCGCGCAGCTGGAGGGGGACAACGTCGACAGGTCCGTCCAGGTGCTCCTCCTACAGGAGCATCACCTGAAGGAGGAGCACCAGCTGGCCGCTGCGGGTCGCGCTGCTCGCCGCCTGGGTTGGACAGCAGACCCCATCCCAGCGGTGTCCACGGCGAAGGGCGGCACCTCGGCAGGCGTAGGCATCTTGGTCCGTCCTTGGGTGCATCTTCAGCGGGTCGTTTTCGCTGACGGCCGCGTCGCGGTCCGCTGCTCCGCCCGCCTTGGCTTCTGGAGGACGTCCGTGGGGGGCCGCGCGGGTGCGCCGACGGTGCCTGCGCACCTCCGCGCCGGCAAGGGCGCGGAAGACCACGCCCTCCTGCTCCCTTCATGGTGGAGCTCGGGCGCGCCGGGTCGTCGAGCCCCCTCAACGAGGCGAACATGGTGGTCAAACGCGCCCGAGAGGGCGAGGGCGCAGCTCGGCGCCACCCACTGCCGCCGGGCCGGCTCTCGGCATCCGACTACCCCGAAGTGCGGGACCCCCTGCGGGGAAGGGGCCATCGAAGCGGCCAGAGCACCGCTGCAGGACCCAGGGGGTAACAGGTCCAGCAGGTGCCCCCCGCCATTACCACAATCGACCCTCTGCCGGAGGCACGTGGAAGCGATGCGACCCAGCATGGTCCAAGCGAGTACTACGAGGAGTACTGTGAATTCAACCCCATGCTTGGGGAGCTACCGGGCGACTGGCGAAGCCGACTGTATCTTTGCAAGACTATCCTCGGGCCGACTGGCGACGCCGAGCTGAAGGTGGACGATCTGGATACCTTCTTCGCTATCGAGGCCTAGGCCATGCTGAACGCGAGGGCTCTTCTCGGGATTGACGCTGAAGATTCCGCCAGCGTGGCCGAGGAGCAGGACCCAGAGGAGCATATCACCCTGCTCAACACGCAGGCCTTTCTCGGGATTGACGATTCCGCCAGCGAGGCCGAGGAGCAGCATCCAGAACATCAGATCTCCCTGCTCGAAGCGAGGGCACTTCTTGGCATTGACGCCGACGACTCTGCCAGCGAAGCCGAGGAGCAGGACCCAGTGGAGGAGGACGACGCCGTTGCGGCCAAGCTGGCCGAAGCGAGGGCACTTCTTGGCATTGACGCTGGCGACTCCGCCAGCGAAGCCGAGGCGCAGGACGACGACGTCGATGCCGACGCGGCATATGAGGCCGCACTGGCCGGAGTGAGAGTTCTTTTCGAGCTCGACGACGACCTCTTCGCGGCCGAGCTGGCCGACGACGAGCCCCATGAGGTCGCTGTTGAGAGTGGCGCGGGCCGACCTCGAGGATTCCCCGAGCGAGCATGACGAGGAGTGGGAGCAGGTGCACACGCGCGATTGGGCGAAGGTGGCCACCGCGAGCCACCTCCCAGCGGCGAAGGCAGCCGACCCACCGGACCAAAGCCGGTGCGCCGCCACACGGCGTACACAGCGGCCGCGGCGCCGGCGCCGAGCTGGCGCCCAGCCCGCATCGTGACGGTCACGCCGGGAGAGTTTGGCGGCCACGCTACCAGCTCTCCTGAGGCGAATCAGGTGGCTGCCCCCTGAGCGGGGCGCCGGGCCCCCCGTTCCCTGGCGGATCAAAGGTTTG